ATCGTTACAGTTTGCGTTTTACGTTTCGTACGTTGGCTAGTTGATTTTGGGTTTTGGTTGGATATGTAATAACGGTTATGTTCTTAGGTTTATCGATATGATACGATATTTGATAACATAACGTTATTAGTTCATCATCATCATCATCATCATTACAGCCCTTCACAAGTCCACTGCTGAACATAGGCCTCCCCCAAAGAATGCCACAAAGCACGGTCCTGAGCCACCTGCATCCATCGACTTCCTGCATATCTTACCAGGTCGTCACTCCATCTAGTGGGGGGACGCCCTACACTTCGCCTGCCGGTACGAGGCTGCCACTCGAGAACCTTTCTTCCCCATCGGTTGTCGGTTCTTCGAGCTATATGGCCGGCCCATTGCCACTTCAGCTTACTAATCCGTTGGGCTATGTCGGTCACTCTAGTTCTACTGCGGATATCCTCATTTCTGAGTTTATCACGCAGAGAAACTCCGAGCATAGCCCTCTCCATAGCTCGCTGAGCGACCTTGAGCTTCCTCATCCGGCCAGCAGTGAAGGACCACGTCTCAGTTCCGTATGTCATCACTGGCAACACGCACTGGGTGTACAGTCTCGTTTTCAAGTTTTGAGGTATACCTGACGAGAAGATGTGCCGTAATTTCCCGAACGCTGCCCAACCGAGTTGAATCCGTCGATTGACCTCTCGGTCGAAGTTGGACTTACCTAGTCGGACTATTTGTCCCAGGTAAACATACTCGTCAACAACTTCGAGCTTAGTGTTCCCAACAACTACCGGCATAGGTGTGACATGGACATTAAACATGATCTTTGTTTTGTCCATGTTCATCTTAAGACCTATCCGTTGGGAAACACTATTGAGGTCATTGAGCATAGTGCTTAGGTCCTCCAGCGATTCTGCCATAAGGACTATATCGTCGGCAAATCGAAGGTGAGTGATGTACTCGCCATTGATGTTGATACCGTATCCTTTCCAGTCCAGAAGCTTGAAAACATCTTCCAATGCAGCGGTAAAGAGTTTCGGGGATATGACGTCACCCTGTCTTACACCTCTCTGCAATTGGATAGGTTTCGTACTCTGGTTCTGTACTCGGATAGCCATCGTAGCCCTACTGTACAAGCACTTCAACACTTCGATATACCGACAGTCAACTTGGCACCGCTGAAGGGACTGCAGCACCGCCCAAATTTCGACGGAATCAAAGGCTTTCTCATAGTCCACATACGCCAGACATAGTGGCAAATTGTACTCCTCGGACTTCTGTACAATTTGCCGAAGGGTATGTATGTGGTCTATGGTGCTAAAGCCTTTTCGGAAACCGGCTTGTTCGGGAGGCTGGAAGTCGTCAAGTCTGCGCGCGAGACGATTCGTAATGACTCTCGAAAACAGCACGTAGACGCGGCTCAGAAGGGAAATCGGTCTGTAGTTCTTCAAGAGAGCGTTGAACGTTATTAGTTAAGTTTTGATATATCGGTCTCATGCCTAATTTATACCATGGTCATCTAAAATACACTAAACAAGAGTTATTTAAAACAAACTAGTTAATAATTAAATACATTTTCTTTCAATTTCACTGAAATGTGTACGAAATAATACTGAACCTACTTGATAGCTCCCTCTAGTGTATTTTTCAGTAATTTATAATCCCAGCGCCATCTATAAGAGTGCAGAAGAAACTTCCCTCGTTTCGTCACCTAATCATTTGTCAGAGGCTCATCTATGCCCCATATATATTATCTATGCAACACAACAACTACAAATTATAGTAAGAGTTTTGGCGGGAAATTGACCTGTTGTATGTGATTCTCAAAATAAGGTGTCTGTCTGCTTAGGCGCCTTGAGATATCATCGCCAATTGTCTTTTCATTCAAAATCTTCCAAGGGCTACACAATGTGACGCATTAACATATTGTGAAGCAGTGTACTATGAAGGATAAAGAAACATTGTAACTACAGGCTCAGAAGGGCTAGAATCCAAAGCTGTAAAGCCAATTATAAAAGAAAAAACCACTAATCATAAAGTTGACAACAACCATGTCACATGTCATGCTGGCTTGTTAACTGTCACTGCAGTTATTATACAGATAATACTTTTATTTTTATTTTTTATGTATTTTGGTTCACTGTTCAGAATAAGCTCGGAATTTTAAATTATTTCAGAACAAAACATGAATCACAGAATTTTAGAACTTTACAGCGGTATTGGAGGAATGCATTGCGCGTGGAATGGTATTTGAATTTTATTTATAAATATTTTTGTTAAATTATACTGTAGTATTATTTTTTACTTTAAATTAATTTTTTAGAGTCCAAAATAGGTGGAGAAATAGTTGCAGCTGTTGATATAAATACAGTCGCTAATGAAGTGTACAAATACAACTTTCCATTGACAAACCTAATAAACAAGAATATTCAGTCTTTGAGTGCTAAGGAACTAAATAGATTTAACATAAATACTATACTTATGTCACCTCCATGCCAACCATTTACTAGAAATGGAAAATATTTAGATGAAAATGATCCCAGGACAAATTCTTTTTTATATTTGATTGATGTTCTTGACCAATTTGAAAAACTTGAATATATATTGATGGAGAATGTAAAAGGCTTTGAATGTTCAACAGTAAGGAGATTATTTGTGGACAAGTTAAAGGAGTGTAAATTTGAGTTTCAAGAGTTTCTTGTTTGTCCATCGAGTATAGGAGTTCCAAACTCACGACTTCGTTATTATTGTATAGCAAGGAAAACAGCTGCAAGTTGGAATTTTAAACGAAGAGATGAAATAGTAGGTATATTTTGATATATCTGGCTTAGCTTTCCTATTGATGTCCGTCAAGTTGTGGGTTGATATCAACCCCCAACTCGACGGACGTCAATGGAAAGTCGTACCATATATCTTCTTTATCATCTGTTGAATTATTAGTCTGCTGTAATTATTTTCATCATGTGTGGTAGAACCATGCTGCAGCATACTTTTTCTTTACTTCTTTTTTTATTCACAATACAATACACAGCAACATTGAGCTGCTATTTTGTCTTATATCAGTATAGTTGTAGCATGAATGGGTGGGCTCGGTCGGAGAGGGACCACACTCTCACAGAATACCAGAATAAAATAGCAGCTTAAAACTGCTGTGTTATATATGGTGAGTGTAGAGAACTGGAGAACTCTTTTACTGGAAACAGGCATTCTTAGTCCTTACAGGTGACAATGCATCTGCATTTTGATTTGTAGGTGAGGATGGATGTAGATATCTATGGCCCACAGCTACTACTTACCATCAGGTGGATTGTGTGCTTGTCACTCTTATCCTATTAAAAAACATGTGCAGGTGGTTTAAAAATTGCTATAGCTATTAACTATCATATATTTCTTTCATCTTTTACACTGCCTCTTAACACTAGTCATTTTACATCTAGCACATGCCATATATGTTTTCACCACCATTTATCAGAGTAAAAATTTTCATGGTATTCCCTAGTTCTTCCAACTTACAAGATATAATGGACAATAGATTCTTTTATATACCACTGCACATCATAATAATGAAAAAGTAAATTTACAGCATATCTATTATGTACCAGACACCTCACATGTTTTAGAGTTATTGAGCTATAAGTTCGATGCGCTGCTCCAGTGTGCATTGGTGGACTTATAGGTATGTCATTGTGATATTTTATTTATAAGACATGCCAGAATCCTCACTGTTCTTTCATCAACAAGAATGTGGTAAATAGGTACTCAAAATTGTAATTAACAATTTTATTGGTGTAAGTGGGAACAAGATGTTCACAAATATTATAATTATTTTAAATAATAATTTTAGTAATAGATGAAAAAGATGGCAATATAGTTACACTTTATTTCATTTGTAATAATTGTTAAATAATATTTTTATAAAGATGTAATTTCAATATCATTCTACATATATCACTATCACTACAGCCCATCATAATTATGTCCATGGCTGAATATAGGCTCCCCCCATAGAACACCACAAAATATTGTTCTATGCCACTTGCATCCATTGACTACCTGCATGTTTCGTTAGAGCATTGCATCATCTAGTGGGAGGTTGCCTAACTCTTCGCTTTCCAGTAAGAGGATGCCACTTGTTACAAAAAGACACACTTAAAAAAATTCTTCACTAACAGCTGCCTATTGCCACTTCAGCTTAATGAACTGTTGGGTCATGTCAAATACTCATGCTCTTCTGTGGATATCCTCATTATGGATTTTATCTAGAGAAGTTACAACCATAGCCCTTTACATGGCACACTGAGTGACTTTGAGCTTTCTCATGCTGTCAGCAGTGAGGAATCATGTTTCAATTCTGTAAGTTATCACTGGCAACCCAGAGTGGTTGTACACTTCATAACCTTTTAATATTTGTATTATTTTGCATATTATTTTTATCATGTTTTATTTGCAGATGAGTGTGATACCAGTTGATTATGGTGTACCTAACACATTAGAAAGTATAATAGAGAAAGATGTTTCAGACAAATATCTAGTAAATGATAAGTTATTAAAGCATGGGAATATAATGGATATTTGTTTCAAAGATTCCATAAGGTCTTGTTGTTTCACTAAAGCTTATACTCATTATATTGAAGGTACGGGTTCAGTGTTCACTGCAGCAACTCCAGAAAGTGTAAAAATTTGTTTTGAAAAAGCAAATTCTTTTGATGTTGGTAGTGAAAAGTATGTTGAATCACTGAAGGAATTGAATTTAAGATTTTTTACTCCAAAAGAAGTTTCATTGCTTATGTCATTCCCTGATCATTATAAATTTCCTAAAACTGTAACTCTTAAACAGTCCTACAGATTGCTTGGTAATAGTATTAATGTAAAGGTAGTAAGTGAATTATTAAAGTTATTATTCAATCATCAATAAATATATGTATTTGAACATTATTTTTAGTTTATATAAGGTCTTATTTTACATTTTGAATACTGTTAGATCAAATTTTTTTTAATCACTATTGAAGAATCTTTTATTATATTGATCCATTTGCTAATACTTGCCGGGCTCTTCTTTTAGCTTTGTGATTAAGTACTCTCGTTCTTAACATTACAGCTACAGATGATGCTGTTCCTAGTACAAATGACCATATAGTGAATTTCCAGAATGCCCTTTCTTCCAAATAAGCAACACGATCACAACTGCAATTTTTTTTTTAAATAAGTGACTTCATTATTATTTATAAATAAATATACTCTTAATTAACAATCTACCTTCTAGTGACTGTTTCACCATTTTCACACTTCAATATTTCCTTAAAACTTGTATGTATACAAACTCCTATACTCTTACTTCGAATTTCAAAATCTAAAAAATTGGAAAAAGCTTCATAGAGAATATATAATAACTTTAATTTAACATAAAATAATGTAATTTAGGCCAAGAATTTAATTCATAATTCAATTAAAACCAGGTCTTAAACTTATAACATATCATAATATTTATTTAAATACTTTATTATTTAGAAACTGATCAATAAATAATTAGAAACTTTAAAATTAACATTATAATACCACACTTTTAAATTGCAAAGGCAAGCAAATAATAAGATAATTAATTTAGTATTGTCTACATTCAAAAACATTACCTGAGCAAGGATGACATTCACTAATTATTTTATAGGGTTGATGCATCCAGCATGTCGAATTGTTTTCAGTTGGAAATGTTTTATTCCTCATTTTGTGGTTTCCAGATAGTGTTTCAGCTAATTGTGATTCTAGAATGAGTATGACAATAGTTAATCTAGAAAAAAAAAAACTTTATCTTCTTAAATAATAACAACATAATCTAAAAACTAAGCAGAAAAATAAGTTTCAAGCTAGTTACTCGTCAAAAAAGGCAATACATACACTCCTAAACAAACTGTCCCTATTAACATGCATCTTTTTGAACATGTTTCAATCATTGTAGGCCTAAATAATTACTGGTATAATAAAATTGTTAGAGAAAATTTTCCTCTTGAACTCAGTTTTCTATATAAAAAAATTAAATTACAAACTAGGTATGTATGTAACTAAAAATAAAATAATTGACATCATAGATAAATATATGTAGCAAGCTATTTGACTGACATTGACATTTATTTATCTACAACGTGACGTCAGTGTTGCTAGATAGACTTCACTCATAGATTATTGTATATATACACGTCACTCGTCCACTTTCCCCTAAACACCCACTAAAAATCCCCTAAATCAAATGACTTTGAAATTATCAGACGTCTGTTAACTTTTCAAATTCGCTTTTTTTAATAAATAAATTATACAAAAATAAATAAAATAACTGTACGTGAAAAAATTAAAGAAATTGGAGTACAACTTTTAAAATATTTTTTTATAAAAATTACTACATATTGTGTTCAACATGAAATGTATTTTATTATGATTAAAAATGCATTAAACTCTTACTGATTTCTTAGTTTAAATCTTTTTTCCTAAAAAAAAAAAACATTGTTTAGTACAGGCGAAATACAAAAGGCAAAGCAAAAAAAAAATTAACGTTTTAAAAAAAATTAATTGTATTTCTAAAAAAAATTAACGTTTCGTACACGAAAAATTTAACATAATATTGTAGAAACATCCTTCGGTAAAAATAAGAAATCCGAACAAAAACGGTTTCACTGTAAAGCATCGCGCCAAGTACACTTTCAACTATAGTTACAAAAATAATAATTACATTTTTACAAATAATTATAAAATAAAAAAATAACAAGTACATCACCGTTTTAGATTCGAAAAAAAATTTTGCTGAAAAAAGTAATAATAAAAAGTGGTGTACCACCAAGTACACAATTTTTTATTATTACTTTTTTCAGCAAAGTTTTTTTTTCGAATCTAAAACGGTTATGAACTTGGTTTATTTTATTTTTATAATTTTTTAAAAAAATGTAATTATTATTTTTGTAACTATAGTTGAAAGTGTACTTGGCGCGATGCTTTACAGTGAAATTGATTTTCTTCGGATTTCATATCTTTTTGTAAAGTACACAATTTCTTTTTTTTTTTCAAATACTGCACACCTCATACTGCGAAGCGGTATTATATTTGTGCTTTACTCTCAACACGTCAAGGTCAAGAAATTTTTTGCTCTTTAACTACCTTTATAACAAGTGATTTGCACTCATAAGATAATATGAGTAGATTTATTTCAAGAAAATTTAATCAATCTATCTCATATTTTGTATAAATCAATTTTATTTTGCTATTTTAGGAAAACTGAAAAAAAATTTCGTGGACGTCCGGATTTTTTTACGTGGTCACGATACTTCTCGAAAAATTTAACGTATCGAGACCGGGTTTTGTTTATTTTTTTAAGAATTATATTAAATAGGTACTTATTTCGTAACAATAGTAATGTTTTTTTTTATATAAATAAGTCTCAATTCATTATACAGTCAACTTAGGTATAAAACTTTAACTTTGAATTTCAATGTAACTCAATAAAAATCTACTAACAATTAAATATTTTTTTACAACTGTACGAGAGTATCCAATTAGAAAAGTATCGTGTGGACATTCGGTAGAAACAGAAACAGAAACTTTTTTATTCAATATAGATTATAAATAATACTTATTTAAATTCACTTTTAATTACCACTGGTGTGGAAAAAACCTCTGTCCTGGGAAGAACCAGCAAGAAACCCAGCGGGACTTTTTTTTAAATAACAGCTTACAATCAAGTACACAATTAACTACACAACAAATTAGAAATAATATGGTAGTGATCACCTTATTCCCAGGGGTTATTGTCATCCATAAATTCCTTAATATTATAATAACCCTTTTTATACAAACTTAGTTTAATAAAGTTTTTGTTCTTTGAGCAGGTTAAATTTAGTATATTTAAAAAAATCCAGTTGTTGTAAAAGCGTATACTTCGCCCCAAGAATGAATTACTGACTCGGTGGAGACGAGTAACTAGGGCCTAACTAGACTAAGTATAATCTACTAGTTAGTCTGTGGTGTGAACTGTGGAGTGAAACTATGGAGTATAGAGTACAAGGAGAACCATCTTATAAGGTGCGAAACTTGAAAATGTGTCCCACTGTATACTGAAAATAGAGGTTCCAAAACCTACCACAATAGCTCTGGCGTCTGAAAAACTACGATATGAGTATAGCTGTTGTAGACAGAGTGAAGTCAGCTGAACTTAAATATTTAAAAAATTGCATAACTAGAGTAGTTAGTAAAATGTCAGTATACAAAACCTCAACTATTAACGTAGTACAAAACCAAGCGGATTGGTCGGTCTTTGTTTATTTCGCCATCTTATTCTAATAAATTTTGGCGCTTTTTTTAAATTTATCCTATGCTACTGCAGCACCAACCTTATTGGACGCGTTTTTAGGGACACTTTTCATATACAGAGATGGTACTCCTTCTACTCTACACTCCATAGTGGAATATTTTTAGTGTTATATGGAAACAATTGATAAACAAAATGATAAATGACTGTATAAAGTGTTGACTTTTCGTTAATAATTAAATATATGAAGTTAAAAATTAGGTGAGGTTATGTTGACATCTGTTTCGAGAGCATATACACTGTAGTCTCACGCCTACACGTTTACATACATATACATATGTTGAACGTGTACTTGGCGTGAGACACTACAGTGTCTCCTGATATACATAGCACAGCATAGCATCTAGCCGATCAGAAAGAACTCGGTCGTCGACGATTCAAACCGCTTTGCGCTGGATATTATTGCTCCGAATTATTATTTATTCGAAATATGTATTTAAATGGTGATAAAAAAAAAACATCAAAAATATCGCTTTATTATTCATATACCTTGATGTTTTTAAAATCGATGTTCCACTTTCGAAAATATCGAGGTTCTAATATCGCTTTTTTATGAGCCATGTTGCATCCCTACCGCCATACTAATATTCTCAAGATAAGGTATCTATCTGCTTAGACGCCTTGAGATAATATTGCCAACTATCTGCTGGCTCAAGTTGTCGTCGAAATCGCCAAAGGGCTGCGCAATGTGACGCATCAACATATTGTGAAGCAGTGTATTATAAAGGATTATAATCATTTAATACTGAGATAAATGAAAACATAGCTTAAAAGACAAGCATTCAAGCCAAAAATCTTGAAAATAATTAAATGAAAACATGGCTTAAAAGACAAGCATTCAAGTCAACAATCTTTAAAAAGATAAAAAATTCCACCGAAATTAATAAAATCTTTTGTGGAATCGGAAAACTTCGCAAGCAAAAATTTGAGACATTAAAAAGTATGAAATAATTGATAGATAGAAATAATTTTTAGTGTTATATGGAAACAATTGATAAACAAAATAATAAATGACTGTATAAAGTGTTGACGTTTGTTAATAATTAAATATATGAAGTTAAAAATTAGGTGAAGTTATGTTGACATCTGTTTCGAGAATCACCATCAGAGCATTTGTTTCACCGTTTCCACTAATAGTTCACATGCGTAGACATTTAATACACAAAATCGCACCACTTTTACATATCAAAATCCACTTCAAACCATTATTTAAACAATAATACAGGAGCAGCGATCCGCTGCCGGTCAAGTTCTCGCCAAAACTCCCATTTACATATGTTGAACGTGTACTTGGCGTGAGACAATACAGTGTCTCCGGATAAACACATTAATTGCAATAAGCAAATAACTTTCTTAATTTATAAACAGTAATGGGCTATAAAAATGACTTTTTCCTCTGACTTAAGTTAAGTGACTATTTTGTATCAAATATAAGAGCGGTACCCTAGCAAATGTCAAAAATATAATGTTTTTTACTCGTATCAAACCTATTAAGAATAAACAATTATTTTACTTACCAAACTTATTCTTTTCATCGTCATCTAATTCTTCGAAATTGCTGCGTAATCTTATGCATGCCTCTTTCCACGCTTGTTTTCTCATTCCTGTTTTCATAAGCCGCGAATGTCTTATCCCATAGGGTAGACCGCTCTTTTACTAATGACATCAACACTTCTACGTAAATTTGGTTTTCCGTCAGATATTCTGCAAACAACATCCAGACTCCTGTGATCCTAGCGGTCGAATGGGACTCCCCGCGCTCGCCGTGCCGTTTTGCGCCCGTGTTCATGTAAACGAGTCTATACAAGCCAAATACATTACTGCAAAGACGGTTGGTGCGTAAAAACCGTGTTTATAATGGATAAGCACGGGCGACGCACGGTCGCGGCACGGTCGCTGTGCCATGTTAAAGCTGTCTACATAGGTTATACATTACTACTTTACACAGTACGGTCTGCCGTGACCATGTAAAAAGGCACTGACAGGACCTACGCCCAAAGAGTATAGTCACATGAGTAAAGAAACTGACCAGAGGGGAAGCTGCATACATCGATCACTAATAAAAAACTAGATTCACAATCAGTGACAAAAAAATGGCCTAACCGAGTGAGCACCCGTTCGAGCATTTGGGTGCGCTTTTAATTCAGTAGCATTCGAACGCTCCGATGATAAACATACCTCAGTGCTCGTTTAAAAAGTGTAAAAACCACACATCCAGGACGCTAAAAAAGGATGGAATTTCATATTTTCGGTAAGTATTAATATTAACATTATTTAATTGTTATCACTGTATTGTAAATACTGATATTTTATCAAGAAATCATCGCAAAAATATTTTTAAATTAAGTCGTAATAAAATATGTCGTTATTGTTCGAGTTACTTGCGTTGATTCTGTTCCATTTGTGGAGACGCTATTGTTTTTTTTTTATTATTAAGGTATGATTGTTTTTTGTTTGTTTAATGAGACTACTGTTTCTCTAAATATTATAGTACCATTTTATAAATTTAATTTTAAATAAGTATGTGCATGTAATAAAATTTGAGTTTTTTTTTGTTTTTTTTAGCTTTAATCGAGATCCATTGAGACGTGGAGAATGGAT